TCCCGAATAAGTTCCGATTCACGTGAAGACGTGAATAGGTTCACAAACAGTGACTGGCACGGGTCGTTTTATGTTTGGCTTGCTTTTGCGCATAAGCCTTTTCCAGACTCAGGCCTAATACAACGACTGTGCTGTGATGGATACTTGCCTTTGTATTTGCATGGCTCGTTCAATATCCCCATCAGTCATGACCGTGGCATACTAATCCGATAATACGTCGTGTTTGTGCATGACTGAATTGTACTGTTGCGTCTCCTGTGTCCTTTTAGGAATCCCATTCACGATTTACGTTTAAATCGACTGCGGTATTCTAACCGCATCATGGTTTAGTCTTGCATGTGCACGAGGATGTCCTGCCTTTGCTTGTATCTGCTTTGACATATTAAATCCACACTGGGAGGGCTTGTATGGCGCGGCACAAGCAGGCCTATAAAAAAGAGAGAGAGAGAGAGAGAGAGAGAGAGAGAGAGAGAGAGAGAGAGAGAGAGAGAGAGAGAGAGAGAGAGAGAGAGAGAGAGAGAGAGAGAGAGAGAGAGAGAGAGAGAGAGTGAGAGAGAGAAGGAAGACTGTAAAGTTTACCTTGAAGCTGTCTTGTTACCTTGAAGATAACGTAAAAAAACTAAGCTACTAGGCCCGAACACCTTCGGCAGCTGTTGACAATGTGTTTGACCGGAGCGTCGGAAAATCTCCCGTTCATGATAATTTAATAGCTGAAGTTAAAGTGATGCGAAGCTCGCGCACCAATTCACGAATTCCACTGCTTGAAAACGACCCGTCATGAATAATCAAGGTCGGAGGCTGTGATCTACAAACGCGGCGCATTTGCAGTGCTAATGGTTTCGGCAATAATCATGAAAGCGTTGCGAGAAACACAAATAAGTGAGAAGGAACTGATTACAACAGACATGATTACACGCAATTTGACTTCCTTGGCCCGATATATTACCATTTAAAGCACGGCATCTCGCATGTAAGATTGGTTTCGGAGAGAGTGACGTCAGTGGGGCACCGTCATTGGCACATCCACGAGTTGGGGATTTTTGAGACTGTTAATAATTTGCAGTCGCCACATTTGCCTCACTGTGCAGATGGTTCCACGCCTCCAACGGCTTTTGCTGCTGGAACCTGACACCAATTCTGAAAAATGTCGAAGGATGGGTGGGTTCTCGGCTTGCGCACGAGAGAACGTTGCTCTCCAAGTACGTCGACATACCCTGTTGCTGGTGCACGTTTTCTCCCGTGTCAAGGCGCTGGGTCTTTGTACTTTGAGTCGCAATCCGACCAATAGTCTTCGGCTGTTCCGCAATTTGAAATGTTACTTTTCCATCAACAGGATAGCGTGATGAAATCGTGATAATGCATCGTTGCAGAACAAAACTCTCAGACCAAACAACTCGCATGTAAACGTCCAGCAATGGATGCGGCACTTGTTCTGTTAACAAGTTGATATTGCTGAAAAACGCGTGTATCTGCAGCCATTGGCCGTAAAGAATCTGCTGCTAGGCAGCGGGGCGGCCGAACCACGCCGCCCAAGTCGAATATTTACAGCGTAGCCCAAATAAGGTTCGTTCCGCGTGCGGCCTCCCTCGCGATGGGCACAAGGATCATGCAACATCGTTTCACACAGCTCGCTTTCAGTTCATGCGTTTGCTGACCTCCCCACTCTCTACAAAGCCCGCTTTTTCCGGAGCGTCCCTGCTGACTGATGACCGCCGCCGCAGGTGTGCAGGCCATGGCCTTCTCGCACCAGGGCCGGGTGGAAGTGGCCTGCAATGTCGACATCCTGCCGGAGGCGGTCAGCGCCGACATGGTGCCGGTGCTGGGCGGTTTCTACACACCGCCCGAGGCGATCGAGCGTCACGTGACCGATCTGGCGCGGCCGGCGGGCGTCCGGCCGCTGGCCGGGTCAAAGATCATCGGTTTCACGCCCGAGGCGGCGGCGGAGGCGGCGTGGCGCGCGCTGAGGGAGGGGGACGGGGAGGCCTGGCGAGGCAGGGGCGACAGTTTGATGTAGATGTGGGCGACGCTGCGTGAATTGGAGGGCCGCTTTTCTGTATTTGTGATGATGTTTACCAGGGGCGTTAGTACAAACATTATGCTACCTGGCGGGGATGCAGCTTCTTGTTCAATAAGGGAGGCCGCAGCCTCGCGGATCGGTAGTCCGCCACCAGCTTTGAAGAGAGTGCGTTAAATTCGGGGAAAAGGGTTTGTGAACGTTGTGGGGTACATTGTGCCTCTTTACCTGGTTCAGGCCTCTCAACTAGTATGGCGAAACTACGCCCCTGACACGCAGTGATGCCAGCTAACACCAATTCATATCGTGTGAGTAATGTGAGGGCGTTTGTTTTTGGTAAGAGGCGACTTTCGCTTTTTTGCATAATTATGCTTAGAGACTGGTGTGGTTAACACGTAGGGCGACATTTGCGTACCTAGGTCGTAACAGTTGAAGGAATGCAGTGGCTCAGCTGTTACATAATTCTAAGAGGCATTATAAGGTGGCATTGTTGGCAAATGCGATGATAGGCCTTCTGTGGCTTGTGATAACCGGGGGTGTGGGGTCGCATCCAGTTGGAATGGCTCGATCCCCCTTCAAACCCGCAGCTCAGTCTTCCAGCTTTATAGGCACGACATCCGTCACCGTGCTCAAGAAAAGCTCCAACAATACAAGCGAAACAAAAGCCATGAAACACTGGATCGTTTTTCTCCAGGCAACCAAATGGATTGTCTGAATCCAATGGCAAAATTATATGTCAGATATCTAAAATCATTGATCAGGGATCAGGTCAGGGCCCTTCCAGCTGGTTTTGCGAAATTATATCCCTGGTAGGTACGCTATTTGATTTGCAGGATCAGAACTGTCCAATGCTGGGTTTTTTTCTGGAAAACCGATGTGATCATGCCTAAACAGGCTTCGCCATTTAAGGCTGTGTATGTATATGTGCCTGTCTATATCTACTCAGCAATGGGTTTCGCATAAAATAAAACGGGAAAGGAGAACCTTAAAAAACGTTGTTTGAGTAACATGGGATTTATTTAAGAGCATTGTTGCGGTAGCAGACCACGATGTGAGGATATTAGATGTTCTCGCAAGACACCTCGCTCAAAACGTACCATGTTTGTCGCACAACTATGCAGCATAACATGCTTGTTCTTGGTTTTAACGTAACAAAACCATTCGTGCTACGAACACGTACGGAGAGCGAGACCAGTATGGGCACTAGTGGGTTAGTGGAGCTGTGAGAGAGGCAACGTCAATAAATTCGCCACGTTGCAAGCCATTTTTATTTCGTGCTTTCTTGTTTCGTCTTCCTCGCCGTTTTTCGAAGGGTCTGCATCCCTTTGGCTGCATTTCACCTCGGCTCATTTGATTGCGAAGACCTCGCTCGCCTCATTATTGGACTGGGCGTCTGTAGGCGACTGTGAATACCCAGCTGGATATCGAAGGTGTTCAGCGCCATCGAACCTTCGCTACAGCCGCTGTGCGAGCTCAGGGGAAGACTATCTAAGGACTCAGGGTTAACCTGGGCTGTTGATTACATCACCAGTGTCAAACGGAGCAAGCGTTGAACACATCTCGCCCCCTTCGTGCCGAAACAAGGTATGGCAGAGTGTTTGGACGGTGACGTGCGCTAAACTTCCCAAACATCGCGTCTTTGATTTGTTTGGACGTCGATGCCGGGCTATCGCGGCGCGGCATGTTTGTCGCATAAACCATTGCAGATATCGCAGATGATGCTCGAATGGTAACGATTTGTCTGCAATCGTTTAGTGGTGGTTTGCAAGATGTCTCGGTCTCCTTTTGAGCTCTGTCATCGATTAGTTTCTGCCAGCTCGTGAAAGATCATTCCAGTGAAGTTACGAAATGCACTCACCGTGGATATGAATCCCTGTTGGATGCATTTGTGTCCAAAAAATGAGGTACGTCACTCATAGGCCACAACTGCCCAAAGAGGAAATATTATTGGCGGTCCAATGTACCGTGAAACGCGTGCATTATAAAGACGGTCATAGGAGCCAAAGAAATACTAAGCCCGGGTGGCCGGTTAAATGTGACGCGCTCGGTTGAAGGTGAGGGTCGGCTTACCCCTGATGCATGAGAGCTTGACACACCAAACCATGGGGCGCGTGTGTCTGTATGTGAACTCGTCCAACCGTCGTAAACTGATTGTCGTCCAAAGTGCCCTCAGACCTCTCCGTGCAGCCACCTTTAACCTAGATAGCTGTCCTAATCAAAACGTCACTGGTGTTAACTTCATGGCCTTCAGAAGTGCGATTGTTCTGATTTCTGGGTTTAAACAAGCGTCAAAGATTACGCAAGACGATACGTTCCTAAAAAAGTTAATCGGGGTTATATTTGATCAACGACTTCCTGTGACTTTCATGAAGTTCAAATCCGGTGTTTGTTGAACTCCCTGCGATCAGGAAACTCGAAGTGGGCGTTAAAACTATATAAAATAGATTCTTCGAAAAGATGTTTGATTTTAACCTCGGTTTGACCGCAACACCTCACCCAAGGTCCATGCAATCAGTCATAACTCCAAATTATGTTGTTTCATTGTCCAAGAAATTATCTCAAAGATATATGCTTTGATTCAACGCACCGTTGTCACATCAATTTTAACCATTCGCTAGGAGTTGCCTTCGCTAACTGCCATGGTTCGATTTGGACCTGCCATAGGTCAGCGACCCAACAAGTTACACGCATTTCTTTACCACAATATCGGCTTTTCACTCGCCTACAGCTGGAGAAAGTTTGGTGTAGCAGCGCTGCGCTGTTCAGAGGTAAGTCTGGAGGGACCGTCGGGGGTCAAATTGTCCCCTCTTCACTCGAGCGCGTGTCATGACTCTACACAGATCAGTTTTGCGGTCGGGCTATCCTGTGGTGCGAGTCACCCCAACACTTGTCCCCTCCTTCCCGAGCGGCCTGAGCTCTCTGGTACCGCTACCCTCTGACCGTGCGGCTGCCCCCCCCCCCCCCCTCCCCCCTTCCAGGGACAGCCATGCCCGACACCAAGGACCGTCGCGGCCTGAACACGGCCGAGACTGAGATGAAGAGGACGCAGTACCGCGCCATCCTCGCCCAGCTGGCTCAGCTCAGCGACGGCGACGAGGCCTCGCGCGTGCAAAACTGCAACAAGTGAGCGCGGAGAAGGACGCGGCCGAGCCTCTGCGGAGGTCTGAATAGAGGCCACGCCACGGCTGGGGTGGGCACCTCAGACCGGACTCGTCTTGGACGCCAACGATACAGCCTGCATCCCGAGGGCCTTTGATGACGAGATTATGCTTATGAACGCTGGGGCATGGTTTGGCGAGCTCCGAGTGACCTGTGTGCTGCCCTGCGGCCACTATCCTCAGGCGAGAGACGCTGCGCCTCATTGACGTCATCCGGGGCGAGGAGATGCCCCAGTCCGTGCACGACACCGGCGGCTGGCTGTACCTGGAGACCGCCGTCGCCAGCGCCATGTCGCGCCCCGCCACCGAGACGCCCGACGAGGCCGTCGTCAGTCTCGGACACCTCTTCTACCTGGGTGGGTGTCGTCTCGCGTCGCTGTCGAGACGCCCGACGAGGCCGTTGTCAGTCTCGGACACCTCTTCTACCTGGGTAGGCGTCGTCTCGTGCCGCCGCCGAGACGCCCGACGAGGCCGTCGTCAGTCTCGGACACCTCTTCTACCTGGGTAGGCGTCGTCTCGCGTCGCTGTCGAGACGCCCGACGAGGCCGTCGTCAGTCTCGGACACCTCTTCTACCTGGGTAGGCGTCGTCTCGCGTCGCTGCCGAGACGCCCGACGAGGCCGTCGTCAGTCTCGGACACCTCTTCTACCTGGGTAGGCGTCGTCTCGCGTCGCTGCCGAGACGCCCGACGAGGCCGTCGTCAGTCTCGGACACCTCTTCTACCTGGGTAGGCGTCGTCTCGCGCCGCCGTCGTGGCCGACAGCGCCGCGTGCGCGGCTTCGCAATGACGGAGGAGAGGCACAGCCCAAACATTTTAGAGCACTGTAGACGTGCGAATTTTTTTGTATGGCTTATAGCGACATGGCATGTCAGCATCTAAATATTATCTGGGTGTGCGTTGATGTATTCATTGCCGACATTTATTCATGTGCATATTCATCGGTATACAAATTATGGTTTTGAAGACAATGCAAATCTGGTGCGTGCCCCGGTTTTTCCTCTCCCCCTTTAATGTCACTGGCTCTTTTTCGGTGCGGCTCAATCTTTGGTTTTATTTGGTGTTCTATTCGGCTGATCTGCCTATAGTTATCCTCCTTGGAATTCCTGTGTTTGTTCATATTCTTTGCATGTACTACCAAGGCTAGCACCCACGATGCGTGTTTTCATGGATGCAAATCCATTTCATTACCCTGTGTCTTTGTATGTTTCAAGTTGCGAATTATTTCTAACTATTCATCTCAGAGTTTTGATAGTTAACCATCGCCTGGTTTCCAATCTTTTAATGCGCGTTGATAGCAGGGGACGGTGCGACACTCCCCCTCCTCCTGCCGTTTCGAAACTAAGAAAGGCAGTGTCGCGGACCCACGATTGGTAGTAAATTGTATGTTGCCAGATCGATAACTGACCCCAGCAGACCGGGTCAAAGGTCAAAATTTTCTTGAAAATAAATATTTCAGCTGTATATGTTCATATGCACGAAATGTACAAAACCACACCCGCGCTAAAATAAACCAAACCAGGCGTGCTCTTTGTTTAGTTTTGAGCGTAATGGTATCCATTTGCACGTGTTTTGAGCACATCTTTATGACATATGGCCTCACTGACGTAAAATATCATTACGCGTTGGCCGACCGCGCGCAGTCTCCCGAGTCGTCGGTTGCCACTCGCTATTCGCGACGACCTTGGATCGCCGCGTAGTGTTCTGAAAACTTGAAAACCGTTGCTTCTCAGGACCAGAGATGCTATGGACACGGTTTCGTGTCAAAACACCAGCAATGTATGCCCCAGAGGTTACCGAAAGTTTGGGCACCATCGCATAACACGCTGGAGCGTCATCCATAGAAAGCCTAAGAGGAGGACCGCATCGACCCCCTCCCGTCATGGCGAGGGCAGTTTTGTGTGTGCCCCTATAACGAACATCTGCGCTCATCTCTCGTGATTGCAGTCTGCATCTGTCCAGTCATGTCGCGAGCAGGATTGTTATTCTTCCCGTCACTATATTTTAACCCTTGCTGTTACGCTTGCTGTCTCACCATTATATGTATATTATCGTTGCCCATATTTATGCAACAATGCGTAAGTATCTGCTATCATATTTGTGCGAAAAGGCCCGGTCATGAGGTCGTATGATCATGTAATTTCCTGTCGCTTTTCCCGCCGCTATGTTTCAAACCTTGCCGTCACGCCTGCCGTCTCACCACCATATGTATATTATCGCTGTTCATATGTATGCAATAACGTGTACGCATCTGTTATTATATTTGTGCAAAAAGGTACGTGTGACCATGCTATTTCCTCTCGCTATTATTATCATTCTGCGCTTTTGCTATCATCATTTTTAATCGATCACTGTTTTTATCATGCCTCCGTGTACGCACTCATGTCGCTCGCCGTTTCGCTGCTCATGCCTGCTGACGCTGCAGCCGGGGCGCAAATGACGTCAGTGCTGGACGCGACGCTGGAGACGCTGCTGAAAGTCCTGCAGAACCCGGCTGCGCCCGAGCGACGACGGGTGCTGACCATCAAGGCGATCGGCGAGATATGCTGGTGCAGCGCCCCCTCCCAGGAGAGGGTCAGTTCGGCGGCCGCTGCAGCAGAGGGTCGGTTTGCAGCCACCCCGCCAAAGGGTCGGTTCGGCGGCCGCCCCAGCGAAGGATCGCTTTGGCGGCCGCTCCAGCAAGGGGTCGGTTTGACGGCCGCCCCAGTAAAGGGTCGGTTCGGCGGGCGCTCCAGCAAGGGGTCGGTTCGGCAGCCGCTCCAGCAAGGGGTCGGTTCGGCGGCCGCACCAGCAGAGGGTCGGTTGGGTGGAGTTGTGTGCTGGGAGCGGGTAGATTCAGCGGATCTGTGCTCCGCGAGGATGTCATTTGAGTGGGTGACCCAGGTGACCTAGGTAAGGTCACCTGGGAGACGTATCACTCAAGAGAAGATCGTTTCTATAAATTGGCACCCAGCCGGAGTATCCGTTACCCCATTCAAGGTACACCCTGGGGGGTACACGTTTAGCACTGCTGGGCATCAAGCGGAGTATCGGCTCAACACAAAGCAGCTCTACAGCGGTCGTCCAGCTAAGCTCCGCGTGCGGGAGTACGCCACGCTACTTAAAAACACCGCGTCCGTCTGGCTTGCGCGCGCCCCCAGTCTGCTGACGGACGCCGTGGTCTCCCCTCCCCCCAGCTGTTCGCGCAAGGCGGCGTCCAGCCGTTGGTGGAGTGCGTCTACAACTTCGCTCAGAACGCGGTGCTGGCGCGGTGGGCGTGCTACACGCTGACGGTGGTGCTTGCCGACAGCGCGGAGGTGAGGTGGCACGACCACTGGCGCCGGTAAGGGTAACCATGTCAGATGTGGAGAGCAGTGTTGGAGATAAATGCCGCGAACGTCGAAGCAGATGAACGCCACCGGCGTCAGCCAATGTGATGAACTGTGTGGTGCAAATACGATACAACTTACAAGGTTGGTCGGTTGTACGTGCTTCATGAAGTCATTACAGGACTCTCCGGCTAAAACAGAGGATCAGAACAGTGGTATGTGCTCTCCGGCTAAAACAGAGTATCATCGCGCTTTTCCCGGCGGACGTTTTTCTCCTTTGCACCAAACACTTCACACGCTCTCCACGCCATGGGCTTTGTCACCAGCTGCAATGCCGACACGCGCTCGCATCCAAGCTGATGCCATCGGGCCTGCCGTCAGATCTGGCAGCATCTACGTAAGCTGGAGGCGCTGGAACGCACACTGAAAGCACTGGCCGCCGATGCCGAGCTGTGGACCGGGTGGGACAACAACCACGCCGCTATCCTGTGCGGGCTGCTCTACGGACTCCATCCCGGCGTCCAATGACGCCATGTGACATCCACGCCGCCATCTCGCAGCGCACTGAGCGACTTCCAGCACAGCCCCCAGTGAAGCCATGTGACGATCACGTCGCCAGCATGCATCGACTGCTGCGCGAACCCCAGCCAGCCGCCCAGCTATGGTGACGTTAGGTGCTGTGATGATGAGGGTTGCCATGGCGACGTTGGGCCACGTGGTGATGCGTCCAGAACTCACGGCTCGCTCACGTTATCACGTCACAAAACTCACTCGGGTTCGCGCATCACTGCTACGAGGTGCGATGTGCAAACGACCGGTGACGTCATGTGTGGTTTGACGCCAGTTGCACGAGATCGCGCAGAGGACGATGCTGCGGGGGCACTCATGTTGACAATGGCGTGTTCGTGCGTCGGTCCCCGTTGTTGCGTTGGCCCACGCAATGACTTGCATCATACTATGGTTTCAGTTGCACTGGCAGCGTCTTCGCGCGGATAACATAGGCTGCCGACAACACTCGCTAAAATGCACCGTACCGTGTGGCAGCTGCAATGCATGACCTTGCCATCTCTGCGGTTGGCGAATATTGTTATTGCAAAACAAACAAAACACCTAAGTCCAGTTGGTTTGGCGGGAGTTTGATGACTGGCGTTGATGTATCGTCTATATTTTGCGAACACCACGCGCGATGTATTTAGTCATTGCCCATTTTCAGTAATAAATTCACCATCTTCCAAAGGCACGCTGTGGCTGTCGCCGCTGCGTCCCATGCATACCAACACATAAATTATGTTGACGTTTGCTTTTTTATGAAATGAAATGCGCATGCACCGGAGAACGCGAATACTGGTGCCAATATAATACCTTTATGAAATAGTCATACATTCATAGCATAAGACTCAATATGCTGTTGGGAACTTCGAAGTCAATACGATTTATATACATATACATATAACATATATATAAACATATATATATATATATATATATATATATATATATATATATATATATATATATATACATGCACAGTTCAACGGACATGGAATAGATGGTTCACTGGAACTTTGGGACGCCGACGGCGCTATGGCTGTCAAACCCAGGTTTCTCGATAGATAACCCTGCCACCGACGCTAAATTTCTATAAACCCACACCTTATCACCCGAGAAGTAAATTACGAGCGGAAAGCCGTTACTTCTGTGCTGGTCGTAAAACCACTCTATCATAATATCACTACCATAACATCAAATTGTCACTTTGCTAGCAGGTAGTCTGCAGCGTTCGTTGGTCTTTCGGCACGTACCGCCGCTCGGAAGCCGCGTCATTTGCGTAATTCTCCAGGAAAGGCAGCTGCAGGTGATCCTCTGTGTACTTTTCCCACAAATAAACCCATGCGCTCAGAGGGGTGGCATCTGGCGCATCCAGTAGCGTAACCTCCTCCAACCTCCTGCAACAGGGTGGTCACGCTTTTAAGTAGGCAGCTTGGAGCGACGCATGGCTCCCACATCGACTTCTTGTCGCACGTACAGCGAACAGTGTTACAAACAGGGGAGCCTTGATGGAGTACGTGCAAGGCCGCGTGCTCCGCCCTCACGAAAAAAGCGGACGTTATGCTCTACTTAGAAGAATCAAGAACGTCGATGAAGCCAAGGAGCATCTATTAAGCCGGACAGAATACTCCCTCGATCGCAACAACCATCATTCAACGAGGGTGCAAAGCAGGCTATTTGCTGTCAAGATGATGAAGGAATTGATTGCTGCGGACGGTCTCACCAACATCATCGCAACTTTTCGCACCTACAGTTCCCTGAGCAACCATGTGGCAGCGATCGTTCATGGCAGCCCTCCCGGTCCATTAGACAACCTCAAGCCCACCCGAATTTTTCATTCGTCATGTTGATTTGTCTATTAGTTGATGCCCCGGCAAAGGTTAAACCCTCCCTGCAATGCGACGCCAAGGCGTGATGAATACCCCACGTTCAGGTTGTTCCCACCTCTTCACCGCATATGGCTACACTCATCTCCCTCGCAAGGAGTGAACAATGCATTGCCAATGTCAATGCAGACTTCGAGAGCAGGTTTGATTTTGTAAGCACACGCGAGCTGACGTAATAAAGCAGCGTATCACCTGCGCGCGTGGCGCTTCACGCGCACAGCAGTGACCGAGACCAAGCTTCTTACCTGTTGTAGTGCGTCGGATACGTTTCGAGCACGTCGAGGTGGCGCAGTTTCTCCGCGTCGATCCGGTACACCTCGCCTGTGATGTTGTGCCCCTCTCCGGGCCGGTCCACGCAGTATGGGATGTTCCACGGACCGGCCACCACCAGCGGGAACGGTCGCACTGTCCGCGCCACCCCCACAAGCGACGCGCGGCCGTGCTCAGGCCGCTCTGACGTCATCCAGTGGTGGTTCGGCTGGCCTCTCTTCAGCGTGCCGTACACGAATACGTGCATCGTTGACATGATGCACTGATGGTCAGCTGCCGCAGCGTGTCTGCTGACGGGGAGAACCCTGCGATGGAGAATCCGCTTATGACTACCACCCACACGTGATGAAAGCGAACGTTTTTTTAACGCCGCATGACGTACTTTATCGTGTATTTAATGATATTCAACCCATATCCAACAAAACGTCTTATATGTGAGCGGACGCAGGAAACTGACAAACTATGACGTCATATAAAACCAACAGCTGGCGTAAGACTCAAGCTCTGCATCATGGCGCACATGCACACCGAATTCATACCAGCATGCTCGAGCGCGCACCGGCGTGCGGGCTGTGACCGGCTGCTCTGTCAACAGCATGTGAACAGACAAGAACGTGGTTTACTTTGATAGAAATAATCAATAATCCTGCAAACAGCAGTACAGCAACATTCCTACAAGCACTCCAAATACAGTCAGTCAGGCAAAGCAGTCATATAACCTTTTTAGCGATCAATGCATCATATGGCGCCTAAAATGCAGAGTTAAAAACCATCACCTTCTGTATCGAAACAGTTTTGTATCTTTAACCGGCCACCAGCACGCACCTCTCTTCTCTTCGAGGCAGTATGATCGAGGTAAATGGAGGTAGGAACAAGGCGGACCGACCGACGACTTTGGCCCCTCTCCGCCCAACGTTAATGTGACGTCACTGGATCCTTTCCTCATTGAGCCCCGCGCGCGGTCCAGTGCGGTGCGTATGCGCGCCTGCTGTGCGCGGTCATGTCGCATGTAGAATTTGAAATGTAAACAATTTTTATTTTCTTCTCACCGAAAAATGTTCTGTTACCAAGACATGAACTCAGTGTGGTTTCAGGAAACTTGAGCTAAACTGCATCGTGCGCACCTAGTGGAATCTCGCAGTCGGGCTCACACAGTCAGGCTCACCGTTCTCGTCTTTACCGCCGCCGGCTTCCGTGTCACCACACGTGCTAACGGCCCTCGAGCCAGGCCAGTTTGAAGGTCGACCCCACCAATCTGGGCTGACAATCTGGTTGGGGTTAGTCAGACAACTTTGGTGCACTGTTGGCGAACGCGGCATTCGGCGCGCTGTTTCCAGAGCAGGCCTCAGGTGCGCAATCGGGTGGCGAATGCCGCTGTGACCTCAGCAGCTTCCATAAAGAGCTCGGACCACGCGACCCCATGTGGCTCCTATGGCCTCGCCGCGCTCCACAAACAGTTTAGCTTATTCATTCTAAAGTGGCCACTGCGGCCTCGGTAGGGTCCATGCAGTTCAGCTCATGCGCTCAAAGGTGGCACAGGTCAAATACCCAGTCACATTCACACGTCCTATGGCACCCCAGCGGGTCACTCACACAGAGGTCCGTTCACGCGTCATGAAGCGGCCAGCGGCCCGCCCCTTTGCTGTTAAACTAAAACGGCTAGAACAGAAATAGCCGCGTCATGGTCCTGCTCAGTCCCAACACAACGTGCTCTTCAAACAACTCCATCGTCATCACCGAGATGCAGCTCTTGCATGAGCGTAAACGACGAACGCTTCACCGATAATGCCTCTGCTAGTGATGTCATTCGGACACCAAAAATTGGTTAGCTGGAGACCGATGTGCACCGATTCGTTTTTGGTCGGTAAATGGTGGAATATTCGGGCCTCTTAATTAGGGACTTAAAGGGACTTAAGCGCATGGGACTTAAAAGGGATGTGCATGCCGCAAACGCATGGCTGATGGCTCACAAGATCCAGTGCAATAAAGCAACATGTTTTGGCACATTTTCCCAAAATGTAGTCAAAGCTGAACAAATGGCATGTGAAACAGGTTTTTGCGTTTGCGGCAAGTTGTTTGCTTTCAGCGCTCGCCTTATAAGCGCCAAAGTACACATATAGCAGGCCTTTGGTACCGCCGTGGTACCTGCTGGAAGAAGTTCTCGCGGCAAGAGAACCTTACTCGGCATGTTCAGTTGTGCAGTGGGGTCGGCTTGCATATTAATGTCGTATGTGGAAAGGTGCTCGCTCGGAAGGGAAACCTGATTTGTCACTACCGGACACATTCTTGAGACAAACATTCCGGTGATAATGTTGTTGGTTGCTGATGTAACATCCCTTGATCAAGGCAGTATGTAATATGTTTCGAGATATTAACGCATCTATGTCTCCCTAAAGCAATATGTATGTGTACTGCCATTAGAAAATATGTCCTCTGGTAATTGCAGATGTGATTTATCTTGGTGATGTTATCTTGGTGATTATCCCATGGCATGCGATACCATACGGAAAGTGTGCCTTCTGTTTTGAAATACGGTAGCGACGCGGATAAATCATTAAATATTGTTGTTTGGTAGCTGACTTCATGCTTGCGTGCCTTCAGCCACGCATTTTTCCAATATTGAGTATTTTTGCAGTCGATGCTTCATGTGTCATTGAAACAATACATTGCACAAGTAATTTGGAAGGAAAGATCATCATGAGCGTGTCGTCCAATATGCTAAGTTCGACCTTGGGTTCCTCTGCCCCCATTTTCTCTGCCACAAGACATATTAAGCCGTTTATCTTTATGAATAAGCGAATACCGTTGGTCTTACTGACCCTACTCGTGTGCGGTAACTGCGTTTTATATTATGAGCCTCCTGAGTGGTGAAATTATGAGCCATTTACATGGGACGCTATCAGAAATACGCCCATACAGTACCCACTCATACGGGAGCGTAAAGGCGAAGCGGTTACAAGCCTTCCGACGCCCACGTGGAGAGCCCTGCTTCGAATCTCACATTGCTATGGCTGCACTACAGCCGTGAAGCGTCAATATGACCAGTGAAGTGGCGATTGTTCCAGAATAGGGTGCACGATGACGTGCGTTGCGTGCCCTTAAAAATAGAATATGTCGCGAGTGGTTCACCGATTATGCGAACATCGTTCCTTCGTACCTATTTCTGTATTTAACTGATTGTTATCGCACCGGTAGGAACAGTGATGAAATGGGACGAACTGGAGGTTACCAGTTCATAGAATGAAATACGTGGCTCTCTGGCCTACGCCCTTAACAAGACTCCTTATCATAATGCGATGCTTGTTTGTACAATTTCTCACGGCACCTCGAAAGGCAGACTGCTCGTTCATGTAAACCTCACAGCCCAGTAAACCTAGGAGGTTCAATGCCTTCCTTCATTGCACTGTTTAACTCCGACGTGGCAGTGACAAGGTTGGTTTCCAGCCAGCTGGCTGGCCACAAAGAGCGGCTGCTCGAGTCGGATAAACAAGCCCTGAGAGGTTGGAAAGCTCATGAGAAATGCATGTGCTACGGATTCAGGACGGCGGATTTCGAACACTTGAATCCTACCCCATTAACCAATCGCTTATATTTGCAGTGCACCTAAAGATGCTACATTGAATGACATCAGTTGTACTCTAATTATGTAATCAAGGGCAAACTTCTGTGCGTAACAAATACGAACACGTACCCCTTAATCCTGTGGAAAGGCCGGCTAGATGTAAGGTAGGAAGGTCTTTAAATGAGCGGAAAAACTTTAAGCAGCAAAATAATTAGAATAATTTGCCTGACCGGCGGGGGGGGGAGGGAAGAAAGTATTACCTCTGATTTCCGCTGACCATTTTCTGAGAGTTGTTAGTTTAACAGGAGTACAATTTACAAGAATGTTACCCGATCTACATTCCTGGACCCCGTGCTACGTGGCAAGTACTCGTAAACTTATCGAATGCAGGCCTTGGAAAAGTTACTATGATCTTGGAAATCGTCCTTTTTCTTCGGACCACTTTCAATTGATCATGCTAAAATTTCAAAGGTATCCATGCATTTTTTCACTCTGCACCGGTAATAAGTCTAAATCTCAGCCAAGTGTTAACCATCAGTGATGATCTGCTCACACAATCATGCTAAGTGACTAGCCCCCTGCATGGGATCGGTGGTCGTGCCCCCCTCCCCCTCCCCGAAAAGCGGGTAGCCGTAGGTAACCAGTGCAGCTTCTGTTTGACATGAGGTGTACCCTTGCATCATTTTTTTCTTATTTTTCTTTAATGGCATGCGGATAGCTTGCCGAATGCTGTTGGAGCCTGTATTCTTCTTTTTCAGGGCTGTTGAGCCAGGGCGGTGCGCTGTTTTGGGGACCCAATTGTATAATATCGAAGACGTGCAACGCGTGCAATGTTTGTTATTATTGAGTGGGCAATCATGAGCCTCAACAGATCATTGGCCCGGCTTCAGTCGTCAAGTCGACGTGGCGCTCTCGCCCCTCGAGAAAGAGTGCCCGCAAAGCCATAATTCGCACTCCACGGGCGCTTCAACAGAGGCCTCTTATTTTGGACTAACTGCCAGCACCTCAAACGAAACCCCAGCCGATGAAAGTACACGAATTTAATAAAAGCATTTAAGTGTATCGGGACATCACAGGGCGCGTATCCTTCTATGACGATAGGGCCTCAAGCCGATGGCACATCAAATGCGTCCCCATGTGCAGGGTCAGAAGTCTACATATTCACGGAGCAGGCGCCAGGTTTTGGTGGAATTTCCAAAAGCCACATTGACAAGCTCAGAGGTCAGGTATCTCTAATTCTAAGATCTTGGCAAATCAATCCAGCCACGCGACCTCAAAAGGCGTGCCACGGTCACCCTCGCCGGTTGGTGGTCGACGATCAACATCAGGAGTTGAGACTTGGTTTGGCTGTCAAGACGGCTTATTCGCATAAAACGGATCAAATTTTTAGGGTTTGTTTTTGTCTTCTATTTAACAATTGTGTAAGAATCTCGAGCATCGCAGAACCGGTTTAAGGCCGCGTTCTGACCAGTTTGCTCCAACTCGTCGCGAAAAGTCTGGTCTGGCAGGACGGCATCAGTGGTCCTGTCCAGCGGCTTGTTCTTCGGCAGTCTAATCTCCTGCTCCAGTTGACAACGCGTGCTGAGCATCGATCCGCCCAACAATAAGCGCCTGGGAGCACGTGGCGGTGTCAGACAGAAATGAGACGCTGGATGAGATCGACATGATCGACTAGGCGCCCACCTGTGGCAATAAGGGCCCTCGCCGCCGGGTGAGCCAGGACAATTTCACTTACCCTGCCGGCAGGCTATTGCCGTTGGTCATTACGTCCGATATTGACGTCAGGCTGGTCGAACATGGCTCTCAACGTGAAACGCAGGCGGGAGCGAGTGCATAGGTCGTCCCTGTCTCGATACAGGTTCACATGAAGACTTCGCCCGGGTCACAAACACCACGAGTTAGACCGCTCTTTTATGAGAGCGTGTGAAACTTGTGGCTTTGGAGTAGACCAGACTTGTTGCGAGTTCGGACGCCATATTCCTCCTGTGATCCGTCTTCCGTCTTCGTCTCGTCACCACTTTAAACCCCCAGACCGAACCTTCCTTCCATGAACATTGGCCGCTGGTGGAATGAACACAGAGTGGCCGGCTCTAAGCGGATTCATTGTCGTACTTTAGTTCCAATGCCGGACATTGCTGGGCTTGCACGGCACGTCCAAGAACACCTGAGCCCTATGGCCAAGGTAGAAGGCTTGACCGCTAACAATTTGAAAATTCATGCCATCAGAATCTGTATTTGGTGATTTTAACACGTCAGCTTACACACTTATCACAGGGACGCCATCCAGCAAGGTGCAGTCACAGTCGGCACGTCTCCGTCCTATATCAGCCGGCGACAGTCACGGGCAGAAAAGCAGTGGCGTGGAATTGCTGCTGGTCAAACTGGCAGCCAGCTGCTGATACCAATCAGCACCATAACCATTACTATTAAAGCGCCACAGCTATTACAACCAACTGCCGCTCATTCCTCTCCTTAATCCAAGTATTGCTTCATTATTTATTCAAGTGCACTATTTAAATGCTAACATTAATTATTCTAACACGCGCCCGGGTGGCCGGCTGGATACCTTTCGCTCGGGTGGGGGTCAATTTGACCTCCCTGAGATCTCAGGAGCTAAGGAAGCTAGAGACACCAAATTTACAGGGGGTATTGACCTGTACGTGGACTCACTTAGGTCAAATTTTAGGGTTTCTAGGTCATGACCTTCGGGTCAAATAAGGTCAAACAAGGTCAAATTTCAGCTTGGTCCCAAAGTACCCCCAAAACCTACATAACTGTTTCTAAGCAAAAGGTCACATGCTTGTTTCAGGTCAGTGCCCTTGCTTGACCGCCTGAACGTCATGGTGGCCAGAATCATGCAGGACTGCTTTGAGTTTTGCATTGGAATAATCGACAAAGATTACGTATGTATGATGTATGTATGTATGCTAGACAGTATGTTCCTAAAAAAATGTCGACCTGGGTCATTTTAGGTGAATGACTTATTCTGACCTGCAAAAGTCAATGAAATATGTATAATGCGTTTCCTGCTATCAATGAATTCGAAATGAGCACCAGAAACTATCCCACAATATATCTCATAAAACAGGTTGATTTTGGCCTTGGTCTGACCTTCATACCTGACTTTAGGTTAAAGCAATCTGCTCATTCAATTGTTGCGTTGACTAAGAAAGCACCTCAGAGCTGCATGGCTCCGCCTAACACTCCGTTGTTGGATCAGATTGAACGATTCCCTAGAAATTGCTTTCGCTGAAACCAGGGCCTGACTTTGACCTGCCATAGATCAGAAACCTTACAAGGTAAATCTAAATTTGTGATGCCAGACGATCTGCTATTCATTTTTTACAGCTGTGCAAAATTTGGCGCGGCTGCGCCGCGTCGTCCGGAGGCCATTTTGGAAAAAACCTTTGGGGGGCAATTTGACCCCCACTCCCACCCGAGCGCGTGTCAAAGACTTTCTGGGATGGAAAGATATCAAGCGAATTTCGAATGTGCTGAATTAGCAATGATCCGTACCTGATGGGCCCAGTCACTTAGAGCTTCAGAAACCTGTTTGGGACCTAAAAATTGTCCTGCGTGCAAAGCGATCCGTAGAGGGGTCACTTCAAATTTTGCTTCGTTCCGCTCTTTTTTTAGCCCAAAAGGCATTAATGATGATAGAATTTTGACCCGGTCGGCCAAGCCCGGCTCAGATCGACTTCATCTCAAAACTAAACTGAATCGCACTAGAGCTGTCGAAAAGGTGATTTTCTAGGGTGCTGCATTTTTTGGCACTGCATTAAAAGTGTGGTTACAACAGACAAGTTCATAAACTTGTCCTCGGAATTATCATCCCAGTACGTTAATGGGTGAAAAGTTATTATACAATGGTGCGATCATGCGGGACGCTTAAATACAAAACAGTTCAAGGTGCGTAATGAATAGAAAAGATCTGGAAAATTGCAGGGACATATCTATTTAGTGTTTTATAGCCACCGCAAAAGTACGACGGAGATGTGCTTGCCGTGCCTAGGATGCAAAGAATATTGCATCGTAGTTCGTAAACTACAATTATTTGGTATGTGTATATACGCGTGCGCTCGGCCAGTGTAGGGGATTACTATAATATACCGCCATATATATATATATATATATATATATATATATATATATATATATATATATATATATATATATATATGGCGAATAAAAATATCGCCAGGCGACTTTTTTTAGTCCTAGTGGCATCGTGCTGGCATTTGTAACGATGTAAGACGACCGCTGTGAGGGAACGAGGGTCGACCCAGACAGGCATTCCTATCTGGCTTAAGGACGGGGGCAAACTTATTCGCTGAAATGGGCGACACGACTTGGGTGGTGGGTTCAAGCTAAGTGACAAACCATGCTAAGCTTGTACCCTGGACCCAAAAGCCAAGAATGCAAACTTTTGGGAATGAGCTTTTTGAAATATCAGTTCTCACCTTTATCTTCAAAAATTATATTATCCTATAGGTTGCTGGCACGTGTTGCTCTCATCACCCACTAATATAGCTTTAAAAGGAATATTCCACATTTGAAGGCATTGAAGCAAGCATGATATATGATGCAAGAAACTCACTTAAACCTATTGAGATACCTTTTGATAGAAAAAGGCTGCTCTGAGAACAGTCATCGTTTGACTACGTCATCACGTCACGTCATTGTTTGATTACGTCATCATGCCTTGCAAAACATTGGTTTTAAGTTAATTTGCGGCCATGATGCCTGGAAACCGTGCTCACAAACGTCAGGTATGAACGACTCAACAATTATATTGTTGTTGCCACTAATCACTGTATGACCAATGGAATGTCAGGATCTAAGTAACATAATTATGACGTCATGGATGCCTGGTGACTTTGCAATAGTTTCCCCGGAATAATCTGCACATCTTCGTGGGCGTGTAGCTTAGAAACTATCATAGTTTAGGTTTTTAGAAGGGCGGGGCTATAAACTGCATCGAATAGTCTTCAGGATAGCTGTTCCAGGGTAACATCTCATGCAAATGTGAAGCATTCCCCTTCAACTCTACACGCGAAAGGCACTGCATGTGTTCAGTCGCTTGTCAGGGGGTCTTGTGGAGTCCTAATAGAAGCGCCACAGTAATATTTATAGGAATGCAATGGTACTGGTGTGAAGGAACTTCGTTATGTGAAAAATTGGGAATGTTGTTCCTTAGTGAAAATCTCTGCGACGAATGTATTTTCTTCTGAAAGAAGATTGCTAGGATTGCAAGGATAAGGGGACTGTACCCCCTCAACGACGATAGAGGGAGACGCGTCCCTCCTCCCTCGCAGAGGTCATCGATGATGCCCCTCCCCTCACTGCTCTCCGGCTCATCTCGCGCCGTCGGCGGGCCCGGATCACGATCATCCTCCGAGATCGGCGCCAGTGGCGTTCGGACGTCTTCGGTGGCAGCACGCGCCCCGTGCCCCCGTCGTGCCCCGAGCGCCGGCAGCGCTCGTGAGGTCGACCGTGACGGCTCTCACCAGCTTCTTCTTCTTCTGGCTTCTTCTTCTGGCTTCAGCGCCGGTCGCAGCCATACAGCTGTCTGCCACGTACAGACGGCGTGTGGAGACATCGCCGCGCAGGCGCAGTAGCGGATTCTGAGCTGCCCCTCTTTCGCCAGCTTCCGAAATACCTCGTTCGCGGCCGTAAACCCACTCAGGTGTTTCATCCACGGGTGCCACTGTTCGAGGGCTGTCAGACCACCCCAGCCGAAGACCTAAGTGTATACATTCGGGTGGTGATCTCCAGACCAAGGACAGCGTGACCATGACCATGGAGAGCTTCTGGACTCTGCTGGAGCTGGCTAAGGAACCCGTGGCCTGGAAGGTGTTCCTCTCCGTTCTCTGGGAAAATACCAAGTAAGTGTCGGGAATAACGCGGGTGACCTACCGATGTATGTTGACTGACGAAGTTTACAAATGGTACGTCACTCAACGCTTTCGGGCTCCAATCCCGCCTAAATACTTTAATTGCATAATTGTGATAAACTAGCAAGAAGCGATAACCTCTTGGGACGAAAAGAGGGGTATTTCGTTAAAATCATTTATTTCACATGGTTGTAGAACAATGTTTTGAGTATGAAACCTTGATGGCTTGTGTTGATTGATTTACATCATGAATATTTTGAAATATGTAATAATAAACTCTGCCGTTGAACTGGAATTGCACGATCGGATGGTGAGGTTGGGACTCGCACAGGGACTAGTTTATAGCATTAGCACTGGACTCAATTCTATAAGCACTGCATAAACTGAGGATGGTGTTTTCACGCACGAAAAGAACGTAACTTACAACTTAATAAAGTACTGGCTAGAAATATACGGTCAAACAGCATTTCACCACTAGGCCAAAAACACGCTGCGTTTCTTGTTGGGTAAGCTCTCCAGCGATTCCCACCACCGTAGTCAGGAAGCAATGAAAATGCATCATCTCCGAGACAGATGGTGCTAGATGGTTCCTTGTACAGTCATGATAGCTTTGACCCGGAAGCTCCGACAAATAAGTGTGCACCCTGGTGTAGGAAAGGCTATTTTCATGTGTGTGTTTCCCAGTAGGCACAGACAAGTCATTACCCTATGGAACAGAAAAAGCAAGAATGGAGGTCGGTCCGTCGTTTCCATGATTGCCAAATCACATAGGTTTTAGACCAGCTGATATGTCCTATCGCGCTGACCCCTCCTTATGACATAATTACCCATTTGCGGCGGGCTTTGTATTGCATATGGGAGTTATATCAAACAAACTATTTTTATTTCCCAATGCGAACGCGATCAGAAGATGCTATTTTCCAGCTCATGCTGGGAGCAGGATCCGCTGGCTTGCCTACAATCTAACAAATGGGTGGGGGTGGGGGGAACTGGGCTTTTTAAGGATGCACCAATGAGCTCACCGCTTTCTCAAAGCCTGAGCACTCTCAAGAGCATTTAAGAACCTTATGGCTAGCAATGTCGAATGAAGATTCAGGGATATCAAATGACTGATGACGGGCATGGTAATGTTAACGCATCAACATGGTAACGTAGCAACGGAACGTGGTAGCGCAGCAACATGGTAATGTAGCAAAGTAACGTGGTAACGTAGCAATATGGTAACGTAGCAGCGGAACATGGTAACGTAGCAGCATGGTAACGTAGCAACGGAACATGGTAGCGTAGCAACATGGTAGCGTAGCAACATGGTAACGTAGCAACGGAGCTTTCTGTCCGATGACCTACCCGCGCCAAACATTCTCTGTTGAATGCATCATCAGGTTGACAGTCCCTCCTTATTTGTAAGCTGAGGGCAATTCATCGAGACATTTGACCCTTCAGCCCTAGTTGTTCCCTGACGGAGGCGTGATTCCTAGCATGGCCCAACATTCAATGCCTCGGAATAGTTTATTCTGGTTTAATTTGGTTTCATTCTGAAGGTAAAAGACAAGTAAAAGGTCCCTTGCATGACATTTTCCTTATCAGGTAAAGACCGATCAGAGGTCACTCAATGCACCTAAGATCTGGTAAATCTTCCCGTTGGCGTTGGAGTCACTTAGGGGACTTCCTCTCCCAAGAGGGAACTAACGCCAGTTTTGTTTTCTCAGTCAAATTTACATGGGTGCGCATGGCACAGCCACTGCATTACACTTGTGGCGTAGTGCACGGTTTGTACCCTATTACGTGTTTACAGCTTTCGGCGTCAGCAGCTCTTGACCGCTGCTGCGGAAACGTAGGCGCAAGCCTCGCCTGCGCAGTGGTCAGGTCTACCAGACTCATAACGCGGCGACCAGCGCCGGCTTGCGGCCAGGTCTACCAGCCTCATAACGCGGCGACCAGCGCCGGCTGGCGGCCAGGTCTTCCAGCCTCATAACGCGGCGACCAGCGCCGGCTGGCGGCCAGGTCTACCAGCCTCATAACGCGGCGATCAGCGCCGGCTTGCGGCCAGGTCTACCAGCCTCATAACCCGGCGACCAACGCCGGCTTGCGGCCAGGTCTACCAGACTCAACGCGGCGACCAGCGCCGGCTCGCGGCCGGGGCCACCAGACTTAAAATGCGGCGACCAGCGCCACAGAAGGCAGGGCCAGCGCAGCCGCGACCTCACTGAGGCCAAGGCAACTGTCGGTTCCCACAGCGAACGGTCCCATCAGTCGGCAGAGCCGGTCGTCCTGCGTCCTGGTGGCGACACTGTGAACGAGGGGCGGTACCCTTGGCTTCGTGAACCGATTGGATGCAATGCGTGCTGTCTCTGATGCCAGGGAGGGCTTCCATGTCAGACTTATACACTGATGCCAGGGAGGGCTTCCATGTAAGACTCATACACTGATGCCAGGGAGGGCTTCCATGTCAGCACTTATACATTGATGCAAGGGAGGGCTTCCATTTCAGCACTTATACACTGATGCCAGGGAGGGCTTCCATGTCAGCACTTATACACTGATGCCAGGGAGGGCTTCCATGTCAGTACTTATACACTGATGCCAGGGAGGGCTTCCATGTGAGTACTCATACACTTGAACAATCACCTACCCTGAATGAAACTTATCAAATCTCTAGAATTTGTTTTCTTAATTTGAATAAAACACAACGAAAAGTTTTTTGCGGACATTTAGAAGGTCGAAAAATTGTTCTGCCCCATTTTCCTAACGCATAATAAGGTATCCTATAGCTAAACGCCTTCAATGCCCACCACTAATCGTTGTCGCCGTTTTCACGTGCTTCCGCCGTGCCCTCCAGCTGGTACCTGATGATGACCTGCGTGCTGATGGTGGTGACGGTGACGCTCGGAGGGCTGTACACCCTCGGCACCGGGCTGTCGGCCGGACGGCAGGCCGCCCGCCGGCGCGCTGAGGACACAGGCAGCGAAGCGGTGAGCTGAAGGGGCCGGGCCGGCCGCAGAACCGGCTGTCGCGGGTCGGTTCGAGGGAGTGTAAGGGATGAGGAGGCTGGTCGCATCCGCGCGGTCGGGTTGTAGGTCGGATGATGGGAAACGGCCCAGGTGGAGGGGGGGGGGGGATGAGACGTAACAGCCGAACGGCATATGTTGCCCCATCACTTGCCCCATCACGGCCGCCATGATAGTGTCCTGATTGTATTGATCTGCACATAACAGCGCAGTGACGATTCGCCTCACCGCAGGAGCTGCAGGAGCCCAGCTCTACCACATCTCCTTCCGCTGACGCTGACGAGCCGCTGTCGCTGCTGGTGGACACGACGGAGCCGCTGCCGCCGGGCCGTCTGAAGCGGGCAGAGCGAGACGCGATGCGCCGCCGCTTGGAGCAGGACATGACCGACGAGCAGAAACGCCAGGAGAGACAGTAAGTGGGATGTGTTGGGAGAGCGGAAACGCCAGGAGAGACAGTAAGTGGGATGTGTTGGGAGAGCGGAAACGCCAGGTAGAGACAGTAAGTGGGATGTGTTGGGAGAGCGGAAACGCCAGGTGAGACAGCAAGTGTGATGTGTTGGGAAAGCGGAAACGCCAGGTGAGACAGCAAGTGTGATGTGCCGGGAGGGCAGCAGTATAACTACAGACAACAAGTGGGACGTGACAGACGAGTGAAAACTTCATTGATGTCAGTAAGTGTGATGTAGGGCATTACGCGTCAGCCCCGGCCTTTACTAGGTGGCGACGGTGGCGCCGCGTGGTGGTCAAAGGATGCCTTCCCCTTTCTCCTTCACCACCGTCCTTAAAAACAGGCGCAAGTTGTCACATCTGTACCAAAAGCATAACAAGTAAAGTTCTTGGAAAAACAACATCTAGAACCTGCATGTTCACTGTAGATCGGAGAGCAGCACCAAACGATACGAGCAGAAGCGCCAGGTGACTAGCACGTAGGATGTGGCTGCGAACAGATATCCCAAGAAACAGGAAGTAGATCGCGGCAGACTAGCAGGCAGGCCGGGTCAGGGGCAGTACAGAAACAAGGCATATGTTGCAGGACAGAAAGCATGCTGGCTAAAGCAGAAGACAAGGAACGAACAGATGTGTCAGAAAGGTCAGTCGACAAGCACATGGCGAGCGGACAGACATAAACGCGACATGCTTGACATAACTCCCGGCTGGGGGTGATGGAAAGGGCGGTATATTGCTGGCTGGGGGTGACGGGAGAGGCGGTATATTACTGGCTGGGGTGATGGGAGAGGCGGTATATTGCTGGCTGAGGGTGACGGGAGAGGCGGTATATTGCTGGCTGGGGGTGATGGGAGAAGCGGTATATTGCTGGCTTGCGTTGCGCATTGACCGACGGCTCTAAATGATGACATAATTGGCAGCCGGCAAGACATGACTGACGTTGGAAGAAACTATGGGCAGGGTATTTCATACTGTCCTGCTCACTGGGTGCAGGATGTACCAAGCGTAAATCAACAGTAGGAGATGTATTAATGAGGACGTGGCAAACCAACTGAAACGACAAAAGAAATGGTACACGTAATAATCAAGCACAAATAAAACCCCAAGAGAGCAGCAACGGCGTAGACTGGAGCACCATTGCAGACCCGTTGCTGGGGAAAATTGGCGTTGGCTCCATGCTGCTCAAAATCCCATATGCCCCGTTTCATTACAGACCGATCGAAAAGAGACAGTAAGGGATATGTGTAGGAACAGAAACATCAAGGAAGACGGCAAGCATGTCGACGTGAGATCATCCGTCGTTTTCGTTTTGGAGTTATAAAGTGGGTGGGCGGTTTTTGCAATGTTCCACGACGTAGGATGCCCTACAACACCATGTTCACAAGGTCTTGTGCCACACGAATGCAGTCTGGTCCTATCTGCGTGCCAGTGGATTTCCGTTGATCCATATGCGACGCTTTGTTTTGTGCCGTGAGATCTCAGAACCTATCAGACCATTTTTCGTTCCGAAGACTCACACTGACGACAGGGTGCGCGTATCTGAGTACCCAAACTTCTCCTGAAACTGATCCAAGATGCAACCTGGCACCACGCATGCATCATGAATGTGAGCTGCTGATTGAGTTTGTGATCGGGGATCAGGGGGGAGTGTGAAGGGAAACCTTCATCTGGTGCGCGGCGGAAGCGGCGAAGTGGGCGCAAGGGGCGAGGAACAGCGGAAGCAGAAACGTTTTTGGCGGGTGCAGTGTCGGGGAGGGAGAAACGGCGGGGGGGGGCGAAGCTTGGGGGACAGGGTACCGAACTGTGTGCGCTGTTGGAGGCCAGCAGGAGTGACGTGCTGCGTGGCTCAAATACATTTTTGTGATCCGCTAGCTGCTTCTTACAATGAAGAACCTCCATGTGGTGAGCCTCAATGCACAAGACCGCGCTGTGCCAGAGTTCTATCCAACATTAGCCGGGTAGGCGGACGCAAAGGTGGAGAGCGCCTCGGCCGTAAACAACCCGTGATTTAGTCCGAGATGCTTTGCAAAAACCGTTCCATGCAGCCGCTTTTTGCCGTGAGCTCAGCTTTTGATAGATTATATCAACTGCATTGCACGCAAGGTCAGAAAGCTTCAAAACGCTGTCTCGGAACGGTAAGCAATTTCCTTCCAAGGAAAAACGCTATAGTCTACTGCATATATAAAGGCCATAGACCCACGCATGAAAGAGGCTTGCTGCGAGAAGAGGACGTAGGAAGGAGATTTTAGACTAAAAGCGATGATCAACTGTCCTATCAATCGTCTTGTGGGATGATTCGTCGCCTTGTCACGTTACTACCATAAAGTGAAGTGCTTCACGTGTTTTGCACTTGTCGACTTGGGCATACCGGTGATTGACATGAAGTGGTGACTGATTACCAGGCTAGCGCGTTGTTTTCTGCGTCTCGCTTCGGTCGCCTCTCGGAAGACCACTGTCTGTTCAGAAGCACTTGGGGCCTCAGGTTGTTCCGGCAGGTTTGAAACGGTGTGGTAGCATCTTCACTCTGCCACTCCACACGACCTGACCCTAACCGACCTGATCTGTCACGACTTGGCTCTGACCCGCACGTCGTTATTTCAGGTCCGAGTCTGAGCAAATGGCTGCCATTCTGGACCTGATGCAGAAGAACAGCGACAAGTTCGGCAACCCCTCGCTGGAGGACATGCAGTCACAGATGCGGCTGTACCTGTAGAGCCTGAAGCATTGTCATGCGTTGCAGGAACCACGCCAGATGCGCATTTTCGTTTAGTGAGGAGCTGTTCTGCTTGGTGTCAATGAAGCGCTGCAAAACAAAGATTCATCAAATAAGTGAAGCATTTGGATGTCGATCGGGTTTTAGGTGCAAGATGAAGGACTTCCTCAAAGCCGCTGTGGAGCGTCCAAACACATTTCAGCCAGTTATAAAACTACGTACAAAAACCGGTGTTGGCCTTTTGCAAAATAAGCAGACTTTCCCATTGCGGGACAGTGCCAGCACGACTGATGACACCTGGCCAATTCATTGTGTTATTCCTTGCCGCATTACCATGGCCTAAATATTTCAGCTCACCCTACCAAATCGTTTGTATGAACAAATAGGCGCAGGGAAGGTCCTCCTTGGCATCGGGCTGCTTTGTCAGTCCAGATGCCAAGGATTCAGATGCTTCATATAATTATATTTGCGTGTTTACGGCGCCCAGGGGTTAAGAAAGTGCCTTTTCTGTCACCGTCGAAATTTTTAAAATTTGTAATAGCTTAAATTGTCACCTGCGTATCCATCAGGACTCAAATCCAGCCAAATGCTTTGGGAAGCCGTTGCAATGTAATGATAAATGTGATACACTGAGTATAAGATGTATGGTGAAAAGATAAGATCAAGAAAAGATCAGATAAAGGAAAAGATGAGAATAAATGGAGTGTAATGTGTCATAACCATGAAGATATTTTTGCTTCGGAAGTTTCTTTTATACTGAAGTATTCTTTACAAGCCAGGTCAAAAGCATCGCTGGTAAAGGCTCCCTTGGTGATAAAAACCTGCTGCCTTAGTGTCTGAGTGACCTGAGCAGCGGGCTTAGGAACTATATAGGTTCATCACAGCTACAGATTTCTCTCATGCTTAACACACGATTATCGCCACTCCTTGCCATAAATAATTCAAATAAAAACTCCTCCGCCTACCGAGTTTTTTTAAACGGTCCAGACAACCGACGTAAATTTCACTGATGACGACTTTTTAGACTCAAAATTGGCTGTTGCTTACCAGCAGTACCAGATGTTACGTACTGCAAACAAACACCTTTTTGTTGCTACGATGGCCGGCTATGCTCATTAAAATTTTCAGAGTTCTTGTGTTGCAAATTGGGTTCAACAAGTGTCTTTCGGGTGTAATTTATTGTTTTTGTATCGCAACATACACATTTTGATATCTACATTCAAAGCAACTGTTCACCCGAGCGGTAGGCGGTGGCCAAAGGTACACAGGATTATAGAGCACTGCGTTCGAAATTTTTGTATTTTCTGGCTAGTTGAGTAAAGTATGAGCATTGCGAGTTGCGCAAGAAATATATTCATGGTTATGTGGAGCAGAAATAAAGGAAGTATAACACGTAACCAATTCGGAACATTAATCACTGAGACTATGTCTGACCTGAAAGAATAGCACTGCATGGGTGGGTGCCTAGCCATATGGTGTTGTGTTTATGAACGTTACGTTGATGACAGCAAAGTTACCTGAACAAAGTAATTGGAGCACAGCAGATAACGTCGTGTGAGAGGGTTAGTCCCCGTCTTGAGCATGCCAGGGGATGGTCATTCCCTTCCGCTTCACTCCGTTGCTTATACGTGAATCTTCAACCAGAGGCATGTTACGAGCAACTCAACGAAAACAAGGAAATGCTTACTTTGAATGTATTGCCCAGTTACAATCACGGTGGTAAAATATTGTGAAAGCGTGAGTGGAAATGGCCTTTGAATTGTGGTGCCACTCTATAAGGTACCTACCAACCTACCACTGATTGAACTGCCATGGCATATGCCTCTCGCTGCTCGGCTCATCTGCTAGTTTAATGGCATTGGTTGCAACCCCGCGTACAAATATTTTATCCTTTGTTGCATGCCTATACGGTACTTACTACCTGCCAAGACATAGACGTGCTTATTCATCTCCTCATCCTCCCCATGATCTCACCAGGACCAACTTGCCTTGGTGGCAGAGAAACCGTAAGTAGGTCATGGAATCTAGACAAGTAGGTCTAGTGGGATGTAGGACCTGGGACTGGCAGGTAGGCTTCTTTCCAGGTACACAACCAGGTGCAGTTACGCATGTCTTCACTCGAGACAACTCGAGCCCCCTGGTATTGGTCTACGCATGCATCCATTATCACGTTCTAGGCAGTTGAGATCCCTCTACTATGACTCAAGTTTCCCACATTTGTTCCCATCAACAATCCAGTCTCGGACAAAAATTTGATGCCCTTTGCTCGCTTTCACCCTTCTCAGCCGAAACCACAACCTGCATTCCCCCGCTGCCAATCACATACCCTCAGCTGGAGCAGCACCGCCTAAAACTGGCACTGCCGACAGCTGCTATTTCAAGACCGGCATATGCCGAAGGACATCGACGGACAGGATTGACAGCGACGGTCGGCGGCAGTGAAGAGAAACAACAGTTTGTTTTTTCTCCTTGGTGCACGGACACCTAAAATGTGCCATAGTTAGCGCCGACGGCGGGCCGTTCGGCAGCCAACACACTTTCTACAGGCGCCTGGGAGAAGAATGGATCCTGGCATGGTCATGTAGATAGACTTCTAGCTACCCACTATCGTACCTCATTTATGGTTTCAGATCGCTAACCCCCCCCCCCCCCCTCCCCGCCAGCATGAACTATGAGTCGGGGGAGGGGGGAGGGGCAGGGAGACCTGCCGCCTAAATAAGAACAACTTTTGACATCAACTGCCCCTCCCCCACCTCCATCTACCATCTTGGCAGAGATTCCAGTGCTACGCTCCCCCCCCCCCCCCCCCCCCCCCAACAGCGTGCTACAAACAGAAAAATGTTGGCATATGGGTAGCGCTGCACTACATCCAGCAATAGCGCAGATATCTATCCATTGAGGTCCATCTGTAAGTTAAAGCACCCTGCTGAATCCTGAACAATGTTTCCAGAGAACTTCCTTGACGCCCATACTTCCGCGTCTAGCCCGCGCACGATAAAACCAAAGCACTATACAGGCATCTGGAGCATGATGATGCTGCAGGTTCTAATGAACAGTACGTTTTAGCCTGCTGTTGACTTCATCATCGACCGAGCGGGAGCAAAATAACACAAGTTGAGCAGTTACAATGCATGTACCTCTGAACTGGGTTTCCGAGTTATTGCAGCCTCATTAGGGCCCATTCTGACAAAAGGACCTCGGTTCTATAAAAAAAACTCGACGTTTTTTTGTTTCGACAAAAACGGCGAAATTTTTTGTCAACCATTTCTCTACAATAACTGCGCAATTGCCATTGCGCTTCTCGCCGTACGTTTTGTTTATAAAACTCGATGAAGGAAAGTCTTCCTCCACAGCCGAAGATTTCGTAGATATTTTTGTTGCTCCGAGTTTTATAAAACTCGGAGAAGCAAAGTTTAAAAAACTGCATCCGTTGACGGTATATTTTTATATAAAACTGGCCTCATGTCATATCTCAGGTCATGCTCGCCGCAAATAACCAACATAGTTGATGCACCCTAAAGCAGCAGAAGATATGATTATGCCGGTGATGCACCCCGTGTGTGCGGTGACTGGTGGCCAGCGAGCAAGGGCCGAGCCGGGCCTGGGCCTCCGAGCAGCGCTGCCGCGGCCGGCGCGTCTGGAGCGGTCCACCAGGTCATGACTCGAGGTCAGGGGCGGTTCACCTAAGAAGAGACGGGTGGTTAACTGCGCTGCCGACCAGCTGGTGACCTGATCCGAAGAAGATAGAACCAGACCAAACCAGACAGAACCAGACGAAAGTAGGTCTGAACGTCGCCGTCACCACGCAACAGAAAAGGGCAGTATTCATCATCGCTTTCTTAATTTTGCCCTCAGAAGCATTGATGTTACCAGTGCCAAATTACACCACAATCTACCGCTGCCAAATACAACAAATATCAGCTACCATTTGCTCTATTGTAAACTCCTGACAACACATTACAGCGCTTTCCTGGTGGCCGCAATGTCAAGGCAATGACGTTTCATGGTCACCCAAAGCACTGATCGTACGTCAGGATGGCAGCTCGGGTCCGGCGCTATCACTGCTGCGGTGAGTTCAGTGAATTCAGCAAAAGTGATAGGGAACAAGTTGGGAAAAAGAGGAAGGTGATGGAAGAAGCAAGGAAGTAAAGAATAATGCAAAGGTGTATGCATGAGCACCAGGAACGTCCGTGACCGTGAACAGATTTAGTATCTACAGGAATATAACAAACCAGCATGAGGGGTATGAGCCAATCGAAGTATTCCTGGTGAGTTTGTTTGCTCCTGGAGTTCGGTGGGCAATCTGGATAGCTCAAAAAGTTATGCTGATGTTTGCGCCAGTAGGAATATGGGCAACACATCAGGGCCCAGAGAGATACCCTCTTTTTTAATAATGTTGGCGGGGGGTCACAAGGCTTAGTAAAGCATCGAGTTCATTTTTCCCGATCACAAGGGACCTGCCTTTCGATCCTCAGTGAGCTGGCGGGGCCAGCTCACCGAGAGCCAGAACGTCAGTCAACAATACAATCCAAACAAAACAACTGCCCACGTCCACGTGTGGAAGGCTCGCCTGCAATGCTTTGCCAACATTTCGCTCCGCGGACCGTGACTCATATCAGCCCGGCACCTCCGATCGGCCGACGGCAGCGCGCGATGTCGGACCCGCCGGCAGCGGTCCGGGCCGTTGCGTCGGCTTACTTCCTCTTTAATTGGCTCATCCCTGCGTTTCTGACGCCTGGCGAGCGGCTGCACGTGGCCACAGCTGTCTCGAGAGCGCGGAAGGCGACGGGCATGATGGGCCTCTTGCGCGGCGTATTGCCTCCGCAGCTTCTCTGGTCGATGGGAGATAGCGGTGTTTTTCATGACGTGCGCAGTACAACTGATAAGTATTCCATCAGTTTGAGCGGGCTGGTCAAGTCACTTGGTCACCCGTCTGAAGAGAACTTCTGCTGATACTGCGCAGCATGCTGCTGTGCTGTGTTCTGGGCATCCATTGCTCCGCCTGACGTCGGCTGTGTTGTACCACAGACAAAGGCACAGTGAGGTGTATTTCAGACGAACTCACATTTTCGGACAAAAAACAAAAGTGACTGACGACACGGCGCGACGACCTTTCATGGCTGAAAGCGCAGCGTCCGAGTCAAAGCAATCCGTCCCCCTCTGGCCGTATATGTCGTTTTAAGGGCAGATGCGGGCGGCTCGCTGATACAGCGGTCAGGGATCCTTTGACAGTGCGTGGGCGCTGATTGGACGAATGACCTGCGTTGTAGCTCCAGTTCGTGTTATTTATGGTTGATACCGCGTTGTCGGTACCAAATATTGCTGTTAGTGGTCTGTGAAGAATAGTACATAGCCTTGGTCATGTGCAAAAAGGGCCGCAAAACTATTTCTATATATTTCTCTTCGAAGCTTCTTCAGAACCAGGAAGCAAACAGAAAAACAAGCATCGTTTTTGACAAATTGGCAGCCCATTTAACACATTGGAAAGGTTTGAAAAAGGTTTTTAAGGACTTCTGAATGCGCATATAGACGCTACCCCAACGATAGATATGCATAACATAGAATCGAGAGATAAAAGAACGATAAAATATTGGACATCGTCGGCCCAATCTCAGTCACGCCATCAACCCGATCTTTTTATGTTTCCTCTCCCTCCTTACACAACGGAAAAGAGAAAGGGCAGAGGAGAAAACAAGAATTGAAGGTGTTGCTGGAATAAGACAGACGATTTGCAATCGTTTGTCTTATTCCATGTGTTGATTTTACGGCATGTTTTTATGTTGTAGCAGTGCCTTGTTTATCTTTGAAAGTCAGACAAAAACTAATGTAAACCGAATATTGACCTCGCTACCAATTTTTCAAAACCACTCTGGTCTCTCCAAGTCTCTTGACAGTTCACAAGAAACTGCAAAGCAAATTATGCTGATTCTCAGTTTCAATCTTTTCTATAAGATAAGTGAATACAATTATTGCACTTCATTTT